TGAGAAAATGTTGATAATCGTTAAAACAGGAATATATACATATATACATATATATATATATATATATTCATTCAAACATATATGAGTATTTATTCTGTTTCTATAGGTTTTTATCAGGATACTTGAAAATATTCACAGGGAAAAATTAATTTTTATTTAATGATGAGAGGACCCAACCATCTGTGAACTAGTCTCTTTTCCTCCTGAATCTCCTTATATTTCCAGCCCTTGCAACTCTAGATGACCATGAGTAATAAGTATCAGTTGTGCAGAAGAACAAATCCCTTTATTCTTTCCCAAACAAGCTCTTTCAGGCTTCAAGGGTATTCCAGGTTATGGTTTCCTGGGAATTGGCCAATAAGTCTTTGTTCACCTTACTCACACTCTTCATATTTTTATAGACACTTCATTGTATTCCTTCTTAGTGCTAATCTTTCTGCAGGAGAAATAATAATCCTTTTAATCTCCCCCTGCTAAGTTATTTGAAGTTGCCCTTCTCTGTACCTTTCTCAGCTCTGCTCTGACTTTCTTGGGCTGCAGTGACCAGAACTGATCCACAGAGGTTACACACAAGCATAAGTGACAACCAAAAACAGAATTTCAATGAAGAAACTATGGGAAGTGCAAAAAAAAAAAAAGGAAGTTAGCATTCAGAGAGCACATAGAGAAGCATGCATAGTGTTAACAAATAAAAATTATGTTAGATAAGATGAAAGTTAACCTCATTGTAACAGTGGGCAGAGTAGAGATGAGAGAAAAATGAGTTCTTAAAAAGGGTTAATTCCATTTCTACCAAGCTCCAAACCTCGAAGAGCTTTTACCTCCACTGCATGCAGAATCAAATCAAATTCATCACCATGGTCAACGATCTGGCCCCTTTCTGTCTCTTCTAGTTCATGTCCATCTGCTCCCACCTTGTTCACCAAGCCACAGCCACACTGGCCTTCCTGCTACTCACGGAACACACCATAATCCCACTGTGACTCCATGGCCTTCATCCCTTGCAGTAGCCTCTTTCTGGACTACTTCTTTCCTCCAGATCTCACAGGGCTCACTTCTGCCCATCAATCAGACCTCTAATTTCAACCATTATTTCCTCAGAGAGGCAGGCCCTGATGAGGCAATAGCTTCTCTGTTGTTCTCCACCCTCTTACTGGCTCTACTCCTGTCGTTACCTGAACATGTGTAGTTGCTTACCTTTTCTCTTATCAGCATCCCCACTAGAGTAAAAGCTCTGTGAGGGTGGGAACTTGGAACTGCTAACCGCTGTGTCCTCTTCACACCTAGACTAGTGCCTGACATGGTACGGATGAATGAACACATGCATGAATCATACCACTTAAGAGTGGAAGTTCTGGGGGCGCCTGGGTGGCTCAGTGGTCTATGCCTCTGCCTTTGGCTTAGGTCCTGATCCGCGGGTTCTTGGATCGAGCCCCGCTTCGGGTTCTCTACTCAGCAGGGAGCCTGCTCCCCGCGGCCCCCTGCCCGCCTGCATCTCTGCCTACTTGTGACCTCTCTCTGTATCAAATAAATAAATAAAATCTTAAAAAAAAAAAAGAGTGGAAGTTCTGGAACCAGATTGTCTGGGTTAACATTCCACCTCTTCCCACTATGTATCCTTGGACAAGCTATTTAACTCATTTGTATACAGTTTTCTTTTATGTAATATGGGGATAATATCAGAACCCACTCACAAGGTTATCTCGGAAATTGAGTTAATATAGATAAGGAGCTTAGATGTGTTAACAATAGTCTGTACTCAGCAAATATTAGGATGATCCTGAGAAAAATGGCAAAAAGGGAAAAAGAGAAGCAATAGTGGCAGGCTTTCCCGGGCAGAAGGAATTTCTATTAAAAGATTAAGGTGAGTGTGGGGCTCCACTGATTCTTAGCTTCTCGGCATTGCTGTGTTTTCAAGGACACAGAATCAATTACAAGGAAAACTTCTATGGTTGGTGGTGGTGGTGGAGAGTCTCAGAGGTTTTTTGCTTTGTTTGTTTGTTTTTGTTTTAAATTTAAGAGACATAAAATCCACAACTGTACTATCTCCCATTTCTCGAAGAAGCACATTTGCACAGAGTATATATTTAAACTCTAATCACTATATGTGCACTCTGCTTTCTGAATCTTCAGGGTCTGGTACAGCAAGAGTGTAATACCATTCACACTCCAAAGTTGTTACATGATGAAGAGGAAAGTTGTAACTTTGCCTGTTAGTTGCGGCTAGATGTTTATATTTCCCAAAGGTTGTTTTACTCTCCACAAAGAGGACGTTCCTTAAAAAGTATAATAACATGTTTATTATTGATTTTGAGAGTATATGATCAGTAACTGCCATAACTGTAAAATTTTTAGCTTTTGGTAAAATAGTCTTCTTCTTTTTTTAGAAGTTGACCAGTGTGAAAATCATCTTGTTAACGCAAGCCCGATTTAATAAATGCAAACTGAGTGGAAACATGCAATCCTCCTAAGAATTAGAGTTTATGCTCTTCAGCCCAACAGAGCAACAGAAGCTGATAATAAGTGAAGAGCTGTCAGGCAAAATGAGGGCAAAAGAGGTTCTTGACACGTAGTTCGGAAAGTACCAAAACCAAACCAAACCAAAGCAAAACAAAAAAACTCTCCAGGTCAGGTGGCAGCTGCACAGACACTGTGCTTTCTTTTATTTCTAGCTCCATCCTCCTGTTTCCTATACTTGACACTAAAGATAAGAATTATTCCAAGGTTTGGAGAAAATTGCTTTCTGAAATGTTAGCTACCTTGGTAGTCAAACATTATTGTGAGTAAGAACCCTGCCAGGGCACCTCTTAAAGATAAAATTATTTTTAAGCAGCAACAGTTCAGTAGGAATGGTGTAATTTATAAGGTTAGTTAGCTAACATTTGTATAAGCTTTTTATGTGTCCTGTACAAGAGGCCCCAAGTGAGAAATTTCCTTTAAAACAGCGGGCTGTGAAGTTTTTTACCACTTGAGGACAGAGTATGATTTTTCCCTCTAATGATAATAAGTTAACATATGGTTAATTATTTTTTCTTCCTTTCCCCCTTGGCTACCAAAGCTTATTTATGGTTTGACTAAGCAAGTATATAAGACCTTATGATCTGCTCATTCATGATTCTTTTTACTCCTCTGGTTTTGACTTTTTGCTCTGAGTAATATCATTTATTGAATTTTAAAATCTCTTAAAATATTTACTATTATTTTATTATATGTGTAAGCTGCCACAAGTCCTTCATAGGATGAGACGGGTTTAACTAAATTAATTAAGTTAACAGTTTTCATAAATATATTTTCACTTGATTGTCAACCAACCAGGAGAAGTAGACATTATTATCATTCACATTTTACAGACAGGGAAACTGAGACTCAAAGGCATAAAATATCTGCCCAAGATAAAAATACAATGTAGTTTTCTCTGTACCTCGTGGCACTATCTCATTTCTCTAACAGAAAAAAAACTTTCTACTGGTTTAAATATCTTTAGGTAGGAGTTATTACTGAATTAACAATGATGTGAAGGAGCTGAAATGAAATGTTTAAATTGGAAAAGGAAGGAGTTAGTCCAGTAGGCAATCTTTCCAATAATTATATGTGATTTAAAAATATTAGGCAGCTAGAGAAAGATGAAGAATTTTCTTTGATGAATTTTCTTATTCTATCTCCTTTCTTTTAAAGAAAAAGAGGGAACAGAAAGATAGAATTTAGATAAAAGTTTTGCTTGAAGGTAGGAGAATGGATTAGTTGACCTATATGAGCTGAAAATGCTTTTCAAAAATCTGCCACCACCAGACCTTCCTAACTACTCATTACAGCCCACTAGGATAAGGAGATGGGCTTTGATCTCCTTTCTGAGGTCACCAAGCTGGCCCCAATCCCAGTGTGCTGGCACCCCTGCTGTGCACACTCCTGCAGGTAGGTGTGTTTCCTGGGCTAGAAGTCTGTGAATACAGCACCAGCCTGGCCTTGCAACACAAACACGTTACAAAAAAAAAAAAAAAAAAAAAAAAAAAAAAAATCAAAGTGCAATAAGCCAGGATCATCACCAACTTAATTTTTCAGTCCTTTTTATAGCACACAGGGTCCTTCCTTCTTTATGTCTATGTAAACCAGAAAAGTACTTGCATTTTGCCCAGCAGAACTCACCAGCTGTGCCTCACTGATGGCATTTACGGAAAAAAAAATCACGGAATAAAAGAGACATCGATCTTCTTTCAATCCAGGTGTGATCATAACACGAGTCATTAAGCAACATGACTTATTTATGATATTTTTCTATCGTGTCCATCCACTTACAGTTTCAACAAAAGGTGCAACATTCCCACACAGTTTAAGTACTGAGTTAAAAACGGCCAATGCAAAATTGTCAATGGCAGATTCTACTGGGATGTCAGCTTCAGAGTTTGGAGAATATACTTGCCGTACTCGAGGGAACAGCACATCTTTCTGAACAAATTTCCCCAAGGATTTTCAGATCTCTGCAGATAACGGTTGCTCAGCTCAGTTAGGAATGGATCACCTAGACAGTTTCTCTGTGCTTTTGCAAATTTTTAATGTTTCAATATTTCTATACACCTAGGCCTGATTAATGAGAAGCCATGTGGGAGAAACAGGTCCATTTGTTGTGTGCCCAACATGCATTGGGTATCACTGAATAAATTTTACTGAGATTGTCTAGCTAACAAGTCTCTGGGCAGGGATTTGAACTCCAGGCTACCTCATTCCATGACCCATGCTCTTGCTTCTACACTGGAGGGTTTCCAGCTTCCTGTTGCCACAGAGAAGGTGCAGGGGCATGCTGATTTTAAGCATTCTAAAGGTGATACAAAGGTTATTGATACCCTAAATTCCCAGGTATTTTATAGTCATCAGTTGTGTTTTCTCAGTGCAGACAGCCCCCTTCAGGTTGAGCCCCTTGGCCACGTGCTGGACAAGCGTGAAACATTCCATGGAACAGAACATCTCCTATCTCTATACTCTATGAATTGGCCTCTTTGACTTGCCTGGGGTGAGGTAGGCTCCGCCTTCAGATCTTCATCCAGGTCCACACCAACTCTGTTAAGGAAATCAGAAAACTGGTTAAGGGCCTTGCTGCAGAGGAGGTGAGACAGTTTTGCATGACTGAATGCCTGAGCCAAATATGACACAAATCAGAGGAAAGATTTGGCAGAAAACCATCTTACCTCTCCCTGAATCAAAAGAACCTCAAATGGACTTATGTCGGAATAAGAGCTTGTGCAGCTGGGCCGCAGCACAGCTCATGACACTGTGTGTGGAACTGAGAAGAACCTCTGGTGGGGACTAACCTTTGATTTTCTTAGAGCAGAAAGAGCTATTTGATCTATTTGAAGTCAGAGGGAGAGAAGGAAGGGGAAAGGATGGAGGGAGGGAGAGGGGTCAGGGAGGAGAGCAAAGGAGGGGTGAGGAAAGAGACAAAGAGAGAGCAGAGAGTCCCCCTGTGGCCTAATGGATTAGGCATTGGCCTCCCAAAGCCAGAAGGGAGGAAGGAGGCAGTGCAGGGAGAAGGGTGGGGAGACGAGAGAGAGAAGTCCAGGAAGAGAGGAGCAGGTGAGGGGTCGCTGAGATTGGAGGGCTAGAGGAGGAGAGAGAGAGGGAGGAGAGGAGGGGTGGGGGAGAAAGAGTAGGGATGAGTTAAAGCCTGGAGTCCCTTGGTGGGTCCAGGCAGTGGCACTGCGGTGCAGAGGGCCTGGAGCCCAGGCTCCACCAGTGTGGAGACACCCCTCTCTCTTGACGCTGGGCCACGTTCAAGGCTCTGCTGTGGCTGATGTGGCTGATGCTGGGAGCCTAGGAGCCCTTATTTCTGGGTAAGCCCAGATCCCCCTTCTCTCTGCCCCCCTCCCCAGAGGGCTCCTTGGCACCTGTGTAGGCTGTGAGTGGAACTAAGGGTCCTGAAGTTCCCACTGCCACTTCTGTTTAGGCACTTTTTCAGGTTCCCTGTCTAGAATACTGGGGGGAACAGAAATTGAATTTTCCAAGCAACCCAGCATTTAAGGTTTGAGGTAGTACTGAGGTTTTCCATGAAAATTTGAGCTTTCCTTTCCAGCAGCAACCAAAGCAGACCTTTCTAGTTTCAATTATTCCAGCAGCCAGATGGAGCAGAGGAATTACGGCAACGGATTAAGTTCTTCAGTTTTATGTGGGACTCAGCAAAGGGTACCTCAGAAGCCTAAAAAATGACGCTCCACTGGGAGCAAGAATACCTCCTCCCACTTCATGGAAGCTTAGGGTCTGCTCCTGGGACCAGGCCCATAGTCTTTCTTGGCCTCGAGCAGACAAGCATCTCAAGTGGCTTGAGGAAAGAGAAACTCCATCGAAGTAATTTCCGTCCTGGGGCAGCTGGGTGAGCAAAACAGACATGGTTCCTGCCCTCCCAGAGCACGTAGTTTGGCAGGTCGAATTAGAAAAACCTAAAAAATTTATGGTCATTTCCATGCTACGAAGGAAAAGCGCATAAGAACAATGCTTTCTCTCTCTTGTGATTTTAGCTTCTTTGGATGAAAATCTTGCTGAATTATATTCCCTGGCTCCCTGCTTCCTTAAACAGAGAGTGGTGGGGATACTCGGATCTTAACTGGAGGTCTCGGCGTCGCCACTGACCAGATTAACCCAACACTCGCAGTGTTACAATGATGTCTAAGCTCTAGATGAGCCTCTTTAGGCCCACATTAAATGGTCCCTGGCTACTGTTCTTTCTCTTTTTAAAGTTCTTATATCTGCCAGTTGGATTGCCCGGATTTCCTGCCTACAACAATATGTTGGCAGACTGTCTCTGTGCTCCCTCCTACTTTTTTATTTAGTACAGGATTGATGACCTGATAGTCATATTTAATGTCTTTTTTCAAGTTTATAATACACACATATATACATACACAACAAAACAATGAAACTGAAATGTTATAGAAGGGCTTACAAGTAAAACACTGGTATTCTCGGCCCCACTCTCTGTCCTACTTCCCCACGCCAGCTACCGTGGGCTCTGGGAGAAAGATCTACCTTGTCTCTATTGTGATACACGAACTGATACAAGCACGCACGGCACATTCACACGGCATCCCCAGGGTTAAGCAGGTCAGTCACAGTGTGAAAGTGACATTCTGTGAGGGTTGACCTTGAATCCACTCACCTTTAGGTATAAGAGATCATTTACACACTATGGGTTTCGAGAGATTAATGGAAAGAAGACACGACATCCCACAGCTTGTGGTGCCTAGTGTATTTACAGCAGCGCCCTGGTGAGAGGTCACCAGTGTATATGGGATGGAGTCCAGCCTCCTTAGGTGACATCCAAGGCTCCTTAGCACCCTTCCTGTGGCTTTAAGCCACGCTTTCTGCTCGTCTGATCTGGACAAAATGCCCCAGGGTTGCTAACTAGACCTGTCCTTATTTCTGAGACCTACTACGCAATACAATCCCGGAGCTGTGGCTTTACCCAGATCTGCCAATGCCTCTCTCTTTGACTGAATCCCCCCCGCCTCCAAATTCCAGCGTGGTCACCAGTGAGTATGTCTGAGGAACCACCTCCTTTCCTGAACTTTCTGCTACTGTCCCTCCCCTTCTGATCAACACCATGGACTGTCCATCTTATTGCCCTACTTTGGTTCAGATCCCCCAACACGTAATGTTTTCACTGACTTGGACTGGGCATAGCTCTGTACCACTAACTCTGTTCTCTGTTCCCAGACCCAACTCCATGGCACCTGTGATCCCCGGGATCTAGCTACGACAACTCTGGCCTAGCCTATGTTCGCCGGTCTGGTTATATGCAGCCATGCAGGCCAAGCCAGTGCTCTTCATGATTTACCAGCCCTAGCTGGAATCCCAGCACTCACAACTGCCCTGTGTGTTGAAGCTTCAGGGAAACCCAGCTCTTAAGAGCCTCTCACTGCTGTGTGAGCTGCTCACTCGCTGTGCTCCGTTCTCATTAGGACAATGATGATAATAACAGAACATGCTCTCCAGGGTGGTGGTGAGTTTTACATGAGAAAATACTTATAAAAGTGATAGCTTAGGACCTGGTACCTAGTAAGGTCTCAGAAAATGTTAGCAGCTATTGCCCATGTTATGGTTTTTATTATTATCAAGACTTAAAAAAAATCATTGGGGGCAGTACTCACTGCTAGGCTCACTGCTCACTCAGTTCAAGATCAGCCCTCCTAGTCCCCAGTTCTGCAACGGAGGATCCTTGACTGTATTGGATTACCTACGGCTAAGCCTTGTCAGTGGCAGGGGCACGTCAGGGATTTCAGAGTGAAACATCATTTCTATCTAAAGAGGGCCAAACTTCCCAGATTGGAGTTTATTTCAAATTTCCTGGTAGACTGGTGGAGTAAGAGGGCAATGGAGAAGGAAAGGAGGGTGTCTGAAGAGCAAGGGGAAGAGAGGGTAGGGGTAGAGCGGAGCAGAAGGAGAGCAGGGAGAAGCAGGCGGAAAGGAAACACTGCGTGATTATAAAGAAGGTGCTGGTGGCGGTTAAATGATGGGAAAGGCGTGAGTGACTTCAGGAAAGGGAGGCTGGGGGTGGATGGATGAACACCGGCACAGCCCCCAAAACATTTATAAAGATATAGAGAAATAAAGAACGAGTACGAGATTAAAAAGCAACTAAAAAGACTAGTTAAACTTTTATACCATGTTTTGCATTCCTGATGTACCTTTTAATTTTAAGCAAGTTGAGTGCTGCCTCTACTGTATTCAAATGAAAATGAAAGTGAGCTTCTCACATATTCCCAGCTGTGCTCTCAAACATCTCACTCCGGGTTCCTCATTTACAATGAGCATCCAGCTCCATTTGCAGAGCAAAACTCATCTCCGTGCTACCATAATGCATCTCCCCTCCTATCGCGCCTCCATTCTTTCGTGAGTTTTATTAGACATATTGAAATCTCAGGATGCTTCCATATCCAATCATGGCCGAAAAGAATGCTCCAAAGGTGCGTTTTTCTTCCAGGAGAAGCAAGGTGAGTAACTAACAAAAGGCTCACTTTTCCCATTAGAGTCAACAAAATCCATTCTGATCCTTATCACCTAGCACCTCAAGAAAGGCAGTGAAATATTACTAGGGCTCAGTCTTATTGTGTGAATCCCAATAGTCCTAGGTGCAATTTTGCTTCTTTTGAGCCCCTTGCTGACAAGGGCTGGGTGGTGGGGGAGGAGAAACCATTTTCTCTAAGACTTGTGTTTAGTGTGAAAAATGACACTTTCAGTAAGGGAAAAGTGACTAGATATGGAGCATATACATACAGCAGGACAACGGAGGAGCGTGCAAGACACCCTCAGAGGTTTGGGGTCTATTGTGTCGCTATGAGAACATCACCCGGGAGCCCAAACCTGTTACCTCACTACCCCCATCCCATATCACTCGAGAAATATTCGTGGAGCTTGTGCATGACCAAAGTTAATCTAATTAATCATTCAAACATTTTAAATCTTTTTTGGAAGAAATAAGAAAATGAACTAAAGTAAATGAAAAAATTCTCCTCAGTTCATTTCACTATTTCAACGCAGCAGAATAGTTAAGAGCTGGGACCATGGAGCCAGGCTGTGTGAGTTCAAATCTCATTTCTATCATTTACTGGATTTGTAACTTTGGCACAAATTACTGAACCTTTCTAAACCTCTGTTTTCTCAGTAATGAGTGGGGATAAGTATATATCTACATTATGGGCTAATATAAGAATAAAATAAGTTTATACATATAAAGTGTGTAAAATATTGGCTGCCACCTATAAAACTCTCACGAAATATTTGCTGACGTTCTTATTGTTCTTGTTGTTGTTATTATTATTAGGAAAAATTGGGTGTGCCTGGGTGGTTCAGTTGGTTAAGCGTCTGCCTTTGGCTCAGGTCATGATCCCAGGTTCCTGGGACCAAATCCCACCTAACCACTACCAGCCCACCTTTGGGCTCCCTGCACAGCAGGGAGTCTGCTTCTCCCTCTCCCTCTCCCCCTTCCCCTGGCTCGTGCTCTCTCTCTCAAATAAATAAATAAGATCTTTAAAAAGAGGGGAAAAAAGGAAAAAAATTGGTGTATCCTC